TTTCAAATACTTTACGTTTTGATATGTCTTTACTCAATTGGTGGTGGTGCACTCCAAGTGTACATATGACCTTAATTCCATTTTCAGCATTTAAGTAAATGTCTTTATCCTTTTACTTTTATTTATTTTTATACTTCTCCATTTACTTAAATTTGCAATGTAAATAAAGAAGTAATCCCTATTTGGATTCAAATATAAATACTAAAAAATCAAATTCCCACCAAAACAAAATATGAAAAACCGGTTTTAGTGCAAAATACGATTTAGGCTAAAAATGATGGCTTATTAAGTCAATATATACTTCATACTAAAATCTCATAAAATCAAGTTTTCTTATTTGATGTGTAAGAAATAAAAGCTGCCAAAAACTATCTTGAGAAAATGATTATTCCGAACAACCATTTTTCATACTTAGTCAATATTTTTACATAAAATATTTTTTCATGTATGATATGAAAATGCATGAAGGGACCTAAATTTTTTTTAAAATTTTTAATAAATATTTTTTGATTTTTTTTCTTTGTATTAGGGTTAATGGAGGAAAAAGCTTTAAAGATATTTGCTAAATTGCTACTCTTTATCTACCTCTTGCAATTTTTCTTGCTTAGAATGTATTTGTCTATCCCTTTGTCGAGGACAATTATGATTACGACCAATAAGTATATAATTCTTGACATACGTGATATCCCCACACACATGTAATCCTAGTTTCGCCACTGGTTCCATATGAAATAGTCATTTAGGTCATTTAGGTAGTCTAATCCTCCATATAAAAGGTGTGTTGCACTCTTATTTAAGCTTTTTCGATTAAAATTCCCATATTTTTGTTAAAATGATTAGCTCTCCATTATATAAATTTTCGTACCTCTCTACCAGAAAAAGTTTCGTGTTTCAATTTCCCTTCTTAGAAAACTCAATCATTCAATCCAGCCGAGATCTGAGTAGATATTAACTCAAATGTCATATGGGATTGAAATTTAGGGAAGTTCAACCGATGAACACCAATGATCATAGCATCACAAGCAAAACAATGAAAAATAAAATAATGTCCTGTCAGAAATTCCAATTACTTATTTTATTTTTCCTATCGTAAATATCGGTATCTAGAGAATAGAATGAATGAAATGATATATTATCTTTTCAAGGATTAAAAAAAAATATTAATATAAAACAAGGATGAAATGCTTAATTATGGCAATAATAATGCAACTATGACTTTGTAGTTAGTCCGGTGGGAGAAAATATGATTAAAAAAATGAGGAGGAAGATGCTCACATAATTAGTTCCGCAACTTACCACATGATCCAATCATTAACTGGTTATTAATTTCAATTTATCTATTTGATAATATGAATGGGAATTTCTATTCGAAACGTCTGTGGTAGGTTATGAATTATATATACGTGATGCAGTTGATCGATCGTACTAGTCGTGTACGACTTCTGCACGACAACAAGGTGTACTTGTGCCACAAGAAACCAAGGCCCTTCTCTAATCCTCATGCCAAATATCCCATAATTTTAATACTCATCAGCCTGGCAGGAAGGATATATTTAGCCTTTTCTTCTTTCTTTTTTTCTTTTTAAGTTGAGCAAGAGCAACTTGGGTTGGCACCAACACCAAGTTCATGAAATGAAACCTTGTTCTTGTTGGTGGTGCATGTCAAAGTGTTGGTGGTAGAGATAAGAGGTGTGTGTGAAAGAATATGGGCATGTGCAGGAGAGAGAGACCTGCGATCGTTGCGTTATTTGCAAAATGGACCAACAGAAGCAATCATGGAGTTTGACCCTCAAACTCGGAGAAGCCCTGGTCTTGAGGGCGTCTGCCTATATATATATATATATAGAGAGAGAGAGAGAGAGAGAGAGAGAGAGAGAGTTTAGGGTTTAGAGTTTAGGGTTTTAATTCAATTATATAGAATAGAAGGGACAAATAAAAAATATTGACCAACGTACGGTAGTAAAAACTTAAAACCCCACCAACTACGTACTTACGTATCCCTCTTCTCTTCTCTTGGGCCATGATGATGTTCACGGGTGGCCAGTGAAAAAAACAAAAAATGCATGAACGGTCGTGGTATGCCTAACATTGCTCTTGATTAAAAAAAATTAAAAAAGAAAAGAAAAATAACTGCATTAATATATGAGAAGACTGCAAAGTGGAAACACATTAATTACATGATATACTGATTGATTTGATTAATGCTGTTTAATTATGAAAGGTGCAAATGGATCGGTAATCGAATAATATCTGAGGTGACCCCTTCCGTCTCCCCTTGCACCACCCCACCACTGACGTACAGACAATGGAGGGTTACAGTACTCTACTTTTGCATGCATTTATTTATTTATGGGGCATTTGCTGCATGTGAATGTGATACTCTCGAGTACACGTTTAGGTCCGTACGTATGGATGTGTGTGAGGAGAGGTGAAGAAAATAGAAATTAGATGATCACATAATTAATCTGCATATATACAGACTAACTTGTTTCTGAATCCAATCAGGACACATGAATGAATGTATCCAATTTTGTTTTCATTCTCTCTTTTGTTCAATGTTCTTATCAGCCGAAGATAGCACCTATTTAAATTTGAGAATTTTCTTATTTGGTGTCACGGGAGCACAAGGGTCCGTAAGAAACTATATCAATAGAAATTTTGAAAGATTATAATTTTATTAGCTTCAAAGAGTCTATGGAAGCTAGTCAATTAATGAAGTTTTTCCTTGTGAGGCAATTAAGGGTGAAATTTCTGACATGGCGGCAAATTTAGCGGGCAAAGAGATCATCCTGTTTGTGTGATCTGGGCCACCTTAATCATCATGTTTATGGTGATATGTGTGCCTAATGACAATACTGTCTTGCTGACACGTGTTAAGTGGATGAACATGTGGCCGTCACCCTCATCCACTCACAACAATAATGCAATACAAATGACAAAAGAAGTTGTTTTGATGCGAAGTTATTAGGAAGTTTCACTAAAATACGTAAAATATGGGCTGAAATTATAAAAAAATTCAACACTCAAAACACTTTATAAACACATTCAAAATTCATCATTACACATACTCGAAATTCATTTATAAACACACCCAAAAAAATATACAATTATTAATTTTGGGTGTGTTTATATGTTTAAATAGTATTTAGATTTTTTTATAAATACATGTCTAGAATTGGGTTTATTTATAAATTTGTGAAGTTATTAACCCACAAATAATGGCAAAGTTTCAAGCCTTCCACGTTGTCTTGGGTCCGGTTGGCTACCACCATTAACGGCCCCAAGTTCTCAGAATAATATCACCGGAGTTCAGAATTCAAAACAATTTATTGAAGCAGTTTGTACCGTTTCTTGAAAGAAAATAAATGATAACATATCCTCCAAATAGTGACACATAATGATCAATCATTTTATTTTATTGTTATCTCCTTCATGAGATCTAGAATAATTAATTCTATCGAACTTTTTACCGGTGGTTCCCACCACCTCATATATACATATGAGACAGAATGAGGTACAAGTTGCAAAAATCATTTCGATCCCTACCATCTTTCTTTAAAATAATATCAAAAATATAATTGTGTGTCATTTTGATTATTATATTAGAGTTTGACATGTTAATTTCTGTTTTTTTTTCCTTCCTTCAAGATAATATGATGAGAAAAGAGAAAACCAACTTCACGGTTTAAATGTTAACGATCAATAACCTACATCTCCAACAACACTCTTACTAATATAGTCAATAAATATGATACAAATAGTATTATATGTTCGGATGAATTTTGCACAAAAATTACTCGATGTTACTCCAACAATACTAGTCTCCTAAACTCATAGCGCAAAAGTTGATTAACAATGGCCCGAATGACATTTGCCTTTTTTATTTCAAATTTCAACCCCGATTTAATTAAAAATTAGAAAATAAAAAAACCATATCCACATTGTGTTCGGGTGTAGTGTAGTTGAGTAATCAACTACCCGCATTAACGGCCTCCGATTCGAAAGAGGGTTCAGATTTGACCCGAGCCCCGTGGGACCCATTCGCCAGGGAAAATAAGGGAACAGAGATCACATGGGGAAAAACAAAAATAGCCATGTCAGCACATGGACGGATAGTACGGACCCCCATGTGCCCTAAAACACCCGACGACTCAATCTCACTCACTCTCTCCCTCTCTTTCTTTCTCCTTCTTTGCAATTTACAAAGGCTTCTTCGTTCACATTATGAATTCTGCTTATCTTAATTTCTGTGGGGTTTTTTTTAAAAAATGACAGTTTCTGTGGGTTTAAAACAGAAAAGTTGTTGTGAAAAAGGTCCATCTATGGAATAATATTTATAATAAAAAAAACAATAATCCATATACTATAATTAGGGAGAAGAAATTTACAGCAAAAAAGAATAAATATATGAATGAAAGGTGAGGTCTCATTGCCAATTTGCCACATGCAACAAGGCACAAAAGTCAATAGGCCTTTATGAATCCCTTCCATATAAAACATTTTCCCACTTAGAAAGAGAAGAATAGTTCAGATTTAAACTTCTTCACACAAGCCATGTACCAAATTCGCACTACGTCATCATACACATGAGGAGTGTTGAGATTAGTCTCGTAAATGCGCGTTTAACCCTAATTAACACCTTTCGTACACATACATACGCTGATGCTAGCAAAGTTTGGTTGTATTTTGTAACATGATGTGACTTAAGAGAAAGTTAGAAAAAAATTGAACTGGCAGGCGGTACTTAGAAACAAAACTTGATGACAAGAAGAACAAGTGTGTGAATTTGAAAAGAGAGAAGGGAAAGGTTATCCATGCATTTCACCACCACATCATGCCGACAGAAGATTTCATTGAGAAGTGTCGGTGTGCAGTGTACAGTTAGTTAAATAATGCATTTTGTTTTCTTATCATCCTAGGGTTTAGCTCATGTTATTCATCAAGAATTCTATGTTTATAATTACACTATCTGATTAAACATTCTGTTTAGTTTTAATGCAAATTGGCCTGCAAAAATTCTTGAGGGAGAGACAGAGAGAGAGAGGTTACTTAACGGCCAAACTACTGTGTTGGGACCACCCTAAATCAGAAATCATGGACCTGGTGGACCACAAATATTTATATTGTTCAATATTCAGGCTCTCTTAAACCCTTAAGCCTCTATATAAGCTCACCTTCTCTCTCAACTTCTTCCTCACAAGCATACTCTTCTCTCTCTGCCTACTTTGCTCTGTTCTCTCTCTCTCTCTCTCTTTCTCTCTCTCTGCTTTTGTTTGCAAGCAGTGAAATTAGAAATCATGGCAATGCCACTCTCTCTTCTGCTTCTCTCTCTTCTTCTAATCCCAGCCTTCACTTCCTCTTCCCCAGTTCAAGATCCTGAACTTGTAATACAAGAAGTACAAAAGTATGATATTTCGAACCGTTATAAAGTTACATTTACATATTTACTTGGGTATAAAGTTACAATGTGTCACATGTGTTTTTGTGTTTTTTGTTGTTGGTGTTTCAGGAGCATCAATGCATCAAGGAGGAATTTGGGTTATCTCTCATGTGGAACTGGAAACCCCATTGATGACTGCTGGAGATGTGACCCCAACTGGGAGAAGAATCGGCAACGGCTAGCCGATTGCGCAATTGGGTTTGGAAAGCATGCCATTGGAGGCAGAGATGGCAAAATTTATGTGGTCACAGACGCAGGGGATCACCCTGTGAACCCTAAACCAGGCACCCTCAGATATGGTGTGATCCAAGATCAGCCACTGTGGATCGTTTTCAAAGGTGACATGGTGATCAAGCTGAAGGAAGAGCTGATGATGAACTCGTTCAAGACCATCGACGGCAGAGGAGCCAGCGTCCACATTGCCGGTGGGCCCTGCATAACCATACAGTATGTGACCAACATTATAATTCATGGACTGAACATTCATGACTGCAAGCAAGGAGGAAATGCCTATGTGAGAGATTCACCTAGCCATTACGGCTGGAGGACTTTGTCGGATGGAGATGGAGTTTCAATTTTTGGTGGAAGCCATGTTTGGGTGGATCATTGCTCTCTGTCGAATTGCCGGGATGGGCTCATCGATGCCATCCATGGATCCACATCCATTACCATCTCCAACAATTACATGACTCACCATAACAAGGTCATGCTCTTGGGCCACAGTGATTCCTACACACAGGACAAGAACATGCAAGTCACCATTGCCTTCAACCATTTTGGAGAAGGGCTTGTTCAGAGGATGCCAAGGTAACTAATTAACAAGCTATTAATTAATTAATCACTTTTCTGCTGACGTGGGTTAGACTAGTTGGCTCGGGAAGTGAGCCCGCAAGGAATTAATCACTTTTCTGCTGATGTGGATTAGACCTGTTAGCTAGGGAAGTGAGCCGGCTTCTTTGCATCCAAGTTCGAATCCCCATTGAGTATTGAAAATGGCAAGGTAATTAACAAGCTAATGATTAATTACTTGTTGTTGCAGATGTAGACATGGGAATTTTCATGTGGTGAATAATGACTATACTCATTGGGAAATGTATGCCATTGGTGGCAGTGCCTCTCCAACCATCAACAGCCAGGGCAATAGGTTTCTGGCACCAAATGATAGATTCAACAAAGAGGTGGGTTTCAATTAATTACTGCAGTATATTAATTATTGCTCAGTAAAATTCTGAAATTACTGTTTTGTTAACTTAAAAAAAACAAAATGTGATTGGTTTTCAGATCACTAAACATGAAGATGCACCACAGAAAGAGTGGAGCAAATGGAACTGGAGGTCTTCAGGAGATTTGCTGTTAAATGGAGCTTTCTTCACATCATCTGGGGCTGGAGCTTCTTCTAGTTATGCCAGGGCATCGAGTTTGGGTGCAAGACCATCCTCACTAGTGAGTTCACTTACAGCTGGGGCAGGTTCACTCAAGTGCAGGAAGGGCTCGCGTTGCTGATCATCAATGGGACCCAACTTGGCCACAGAGACTAAAGGAGGACAAAAAAAAAAAAGGGAAAATGAAGGACTAAATTAAAGAACCAAAAATAAAAGACCAACTGTAATTACAAGCAGCTAGCCTAGGTTTTTCATTTTCTTGTATATCAGTGTTTCACTTTAACCTTGATGTTCCTTTTTCTTGTTTTTTTCTTCTGAAGATCTCTTGGTGATCATTGTGTGAAAGGAACAAGGCCAAAGTGTTGATATAATTAAATATTAAGTGAAAGCAGAACTTAATCTTTTTTGCATTTGATTTGAGGTCCCAAATGGGGTTTTGCTCACATGGGTTGGTGCAGTGGTTAATGAATTGGATTGAGCTAAATTTGTGAGCAAATAAATGCTTACTTTACTCCATTTATGGGGCCATCTTTATGCAGACCAAAAGTGGATGATTTCTCAACAGGGTATGTACGATTTTGACAGACTTTGCAGAAGCAGACCATCCAGGCCTTGATTTGATCACGTTGCCTCCCTCCATCCAGTTCAATTCAACCATAAAAAACAACCCAAGTGCCTGCAATTAATTTTTATGCCCCCCATAAATTTCCAGTTTGCCATAAATTTTGGCCACCAAAGTTCATAATGACCAGTGTTATCGACTGTGCCATTCTGTATTGGAAACTGTATGGTCGGCAAGAGATTTCGTTTTTCTTTTCGAAAAGAGATAATGGGCACTTTGCAGATTTTGATTCTGATTCCGAAAACTTTAAATTTCAATTTTTTTAAATTCTATAGTAGCAAGCAACCACAGAGAAGATTGGATCTTTTATTATCTTAAGACTAAATAATTCCTATGAAGATAAAACCTCAGGTTTCAAGTTCAACACATGGCATGATTCAGCAGACACTGAGAGCAACATCCACACTGGAAAACTGACAAATCATGAGCAGGATGGGATCTTAGTCTCTCAGGACTGACATTGAGGTAGATCTAGAAAATGTGTGAAACAAAAGGCTTTCAAGCCGGCCTAGATCTCCTTCATAACTTGCTCTCGTCAAGGAGTAAAATTTCTATGTAACATGTTTCATACTCATTTCTCTATCTCTTTCATCACACGCATCACATAATAATCGTGTGATGAAAGAGATAGAGAGAAACGTGTATGAAACATGAAATAGGCAATTTTTTTCTTGTCTTGAAGGGGCAAGACTCGAGAGGGGTTCATTTTTTTCATCAGGAGGTACTGCCAGTACCACACCATCCAATTTGTAAGAAGTAGGCCATTCAGGATTCAACCTTGGCAGCCCAACACTTTCAAAACTTGTTCATTTTGATGCCAACAAAGCCATTAACCAAATAGACTTGTTCAGTTTCCTTGCTACTTCACTTGGCCTACCTCACCAATAGAAGCAAACCACAAGACCATATTCCGTCGTCAGGACATGCAACTTACGTACTAAATTATTGCTGCTAGTGGCAACGTCAATGTCATCATGTGTCTCGTCTATTTTCTTCTTCAGTTGGGTAGGTACTTGTCGAAGGTCCATATGCTTCATTTGAATTTAGAGAAATAAAACTTAAAGCAGAGTTTTTTTTCTGTTTATAAAAAATATCAGAATGTTCATATGCTTCATTTGAGTTTAAAGAAATAAAACTTAAAACAGAGTTTTTTATTATAAAAAAGATCAAAATGATCCGAGTATTTTTGCCATCAAAATAAAACTTAAAGGTAGACAAATACAGCACATTAAGACCGGATGTCAAATTGATGCAGTAATAAGTTAGCCCAAAAATTCAGACGTTGAACAACAAAAACAGCAATGCATTAAGGCAGAGGAGTGATCATGCTACAACCAGTGAAAACCACTCCAGATTCTAAAAACAAGTTTCCTCAAGGGAGAATATAATATGTTCCAAGTCGGTCAAAATACCGAATCAAGCCACAAAAATTACATAAAATTCATTCCCAGGTAAAACGAAGCATAAGCCGCACAGACTTTTTAGATATCAGAGGGAGAAATAACATCATCTATTTTCAGTATCATCTTGACAACTTGTGTTGCCAGTAAGATTTGCTGCTGCTTCCCAATTAAAGTCTCAAACACGTTCTGCTCACGCATATCATTAGTGCCAACATCATTGCAGTCTATTCCGCAGTGGGGATTGTTCTCCTGCATACCAAATTCAAAACGATGACCAATATTAAAATGCTATTATACATGGCTGAAATTACTAGCTTGCAACAGAAAGAGGGAGAGAGTGAAACCACCCAATCAAAAAAACACTGGCTGCTGTCATGCTTCATTTACCTTAATCTGCTGGGATTTCACTGCAGATAGCGTTTCAATGGGTTGAAGACCACTGTTCTCTGCAAGTGCCATGGGGACAGAATCCAAAGCATCTGCAAATGCTCTAATGGCATACTGTGGATGAAAGAAAGATCTGATTATAACAATATACTTAATACTGTTATAAAAATGCAAACGGGAAAAGTATCTTCATACTTGTTCAACTCCTGGGTATTTATCAGCAGCTGCCTCTACAGCAACAGAGCAAGATATCTCTGCTGAGCCACCACCATAGACAATCGAGTTGTTGCGGATGAGATTCCTAGCAACACACAGGGCATCATGGATGCTGCGTTTAGTCTCCTCTATCATCATTTTGTTACCTAATGAGTAAAAAAAAAACATCAAAACCTCTTAAAAGAAAGTAAAATTTTCCTTGAAGAATAACCGTAATCACAGAATAGTTAACAAAAAGGCAGACTAGTTGAAAGGTTGCAAAATCTGCTAACCATATATCTGTTTGTTTCATATGCTGATGCTACCAAAAAGGGTTCATCTTATTGACATCATTTTCACTTAATTGAGATGCTGAATAAAGTTGAAGGTAACAAGAAATAGACAAGTAAAGAAACCTACCTCCACGGATAAATATGGTCACAGCCCTTGAATTTGCACAGTGTTCAATGTACAGCATTCGATCTTTTGTTGTGCCAAACGATTTTTCACGAACTATACCGGCCTAATAAAAAGTTAAAAAGAACTTTGAATCAGGGTTTATCAAGTGTTCAAGAATGGAAAGTAAATAGATTAACTGATACCAATCAAGAAAAACTAATACATATGTTCAAAATGATGAATACTTGTTACATGATATTGCTTCTAATAAGCATAAAATAACGAACAATAATATTCTTACAGAAATATACCTTTCCTAGCTTATCGGGTGTCAATTCTTGAAACCTGGGCACAATTCTTCCGCCTACAAAACATAAATACAACATTTTGTTGGTGGACAAAGATGAAAAAATAGTACAAAAGCAACACACTGCTGAAATTATCTACCACATTTCAAGTACTAAACAGGCTTCTATATTAGGCATACCTGTAGCTATTGCAATTAGTTCCAACTCTACACCACCAACCCATCTGACAGCAGGCAAGTTCCTGTGCATCAATAGGTGATTTGCTTCATCATCAAATCCCCATTGACAGATGACCAAGGTAGCACCCACATCCTGCATATCCGGTGATTATCCGTAAGTAAAACTAGATGGCATAGTAACAACAATGAAGAAAAAGTTGCAACAGCCATTTTCTAGAAAGGAAAAACAGAGAGAGTGAGAGAGTTCACAAAAGACAACAGAAAAGTATCCTTAGTACCGAAATAATCAAATTGCAGCCATTTTCGACCAAACAAATCAAATTGCAGCCACGCATTAGAGATTTTTTTATTTTTTTTATTTTAATAGCAATAACATTATGGAACTGCCGGATGAAATCTGACCTTGCATTGTTGGACCATGTCGTCAAAGTACTTCTGTTCTTGCAGACGTAAAGTCTGAAACTTTTCCACTGTATCAATATCAACCTTATGTTTTGTCTTTGGCTTCGGTGGCTCAAATGGGCAAGTCAAGATAGCAATTTTTGCATTTTCAATTCGCTTTGGCATTTGTGGATGGCTCATATCCTTGTCGATAAGAATACCATATACCAGCTCAGTATCTTCCAACTTACCCCCTACTTTCCCCTCTACTTTTATCAGATCTAGATTCACATCCTTCCTCTCTAAATCTGCAACAGCAAGAACTGCTTTCACAGCAATCTCAGCAAGGTCGCGCTTGCACCGATTCACACTACAGCATGAAATTTTACATTCAAGTCAATAATAAAATGACAATAGAAGACGTATTCATGCAACAATTCATTAAAAAATAGCAATGGTAAGGGGTGCCAATAACAGCATACTATTACAAATGCCATGAAAAACAAGAAACCATGAACTTTAACCAGTGTATACAATAATGCTAACTTTTATGATGAAAAAACCATCATTTACAGAATTGGTGAGGTAAACATGCTTTAGTAAATTATGAGTGAACCACAACATGGCATATAAGTGGAAAGAAAACCTAAAAAGTGTGCTTACATCTTGGATGATAAAGTAGTCATGCAAGTTCGAACTAGAGGCTCTATGTTATCCAGCCCAAATTCAAATTTCTGTGATATATGCTGCAAATGATCGAAAGCTATTCTAGATGCCATTTCATATCCTTCTGCAACCCGTATGGGGTGAATACCACGCTCCAATAGCCGCTCAGCGTGCTCTAAAAGTGCACCAGCCAACACAACAACTCCAGTTGTCCCATCACCAATTTCATAGTCCTGACTCTGGGATAGTTCAACCATCAACTTTGCAATTTGATTGTCGACATCCATCTGCTCCAGAATTGTTGCGCCATCATTTGCTGAAAAGACAACGCAAAGGGTAAGGTTATTTCAAAGCCAATGGTAAAACTAAAACCAAGCAGACACCAAAGCATGTATTGCAATTAAGTGTATGCTTCACCCCACATAGCCATGTCCACACAACAGGGGAGGATAGTTATGACCGCGAGGACACAAAAGCGTTAATAACAAGTGGACTGGAATTATCCAACAATCAAAGACAAACCAAAACCAACCCAGAGCTCAGAAAAACATATAAATTTCAAAGCTGAAAATTGCAGAGTAAAATAACCATGACATACTCTAAAAAATGAAGCAGTAGTTTATTCTATAAAATGAACCCCGATAACAATGAACAGAAAAGACAAACACATAGATCCACATACTAAAAAAAAAAAAATCACAAATGGCAAAGCAAACAGGAACAAACTTCATATCGAGTGTGAGTTAGAGCTAGAGAGAGGGAGAGATGAAGTTACTTACTGACGGTGACTTCACCATCGGGACTCTGGAGCATCTTGTCCATGCCCTTGGGTCCGAGAGAGGTCCGGAGGATCCGAGCAACGGCTTTGCCAGCGGAAATGTTGGCTTTCTGAGCATCGAGGCCTCTCAATCGGGTCTTCTGCTCCTGCTCCCTTAGTATTATGAATGGCCGCCCATACTCATCGAATGCGAGCGCCATTTCCACCAACACACTCTCAACTTCACAATCGCAGTTCGCTTCTCTTCTCCTCTACTTCCCACTCTCTGCTTCCTCTTAGGTCTAGGACCTTCTTCTCTCTGTTTAAAGCATTTGCTTTAGGGTTTGGGTTTTGAGATTTTGACTGCTCGAAAGTTGAAGCCTTTGAGTGAGGAGAGGAGGAAATGTTTTTATTTATGGGCTTCTTCTTTTTCTTGGGCCTAACCTCAAACACCATATGGACTTGGGCCAAAATTTAAATTTGTTGGGCCCAGATAGATTTGTTTGAAAATCCAACCTTCCAGTTGACCAAGGTCAATGGAGGTTGAAAAAACGTTTGCTTCCAGTTGACCAAGGTCAATGGAGGTAAAAAAAACTCTCAAACGTTTTTTTTAACTGAAATAACGGAATTTTCAACTGAAATTAGCTTCGCAACAAACTAGTGCCACCGGTGGCTTTGGTAGCGCAACTCCGCAACGCCCTCCACGCCCACCAATCTTCTCCTCCCAACCGGGGAAATGGGGTATATATACCCATTTCTCACCCAGCACCATTCACCACCATCGCCGATTTCCATAAGCCTGCAGTGTTTCTCAAACCCAGCAGAGAAAGAGAACCAACTGCTCGCACGCGTGTTAAATTACCATTTTACGTAAACATGGCACGCCAAATTGTTGTTGTTGCTCTTGTTCTGATGGCCACCGTGGGCTTGGCTTTTGGCGCCGACGCCCCCAGCCCCAGCGCCGGTGCCGCTGCCACCACAACCCCAAAACCTGGTCTCCCAACGTTTAGTGGTGTGCCTGTTTCCGGACCCGTAGCCGCAGCCGACGATAACCAAGTGGGAACCATGGGCGGTGAGAGCGCTGCCGCTCCTTCTCCCAGCGGCAGTGCTTCTAGCGATGGTGTCACCGCCGGCTCTGTTGGTGGACCTGTCTCCGAATCAACTTTTGGCTCCATTGATGGTGGCAATGCCGAGAGTCCTAAGGCTAGTGCTGCCACCACCGGACAGCTCTCCGCTGGAGCAGTTGTTGCCGCTGGCGTCACCGCCTCCTTCTTCTTCTAAGCTCAAGCAGCTCCATGTATGCACGTATGCATAATGCATATCAATAATGATGCTAGGCTCACTACATTTGTTCGAGAAAGAGAAATGATATGTTTGCATTGATGTATCATTAAAGTGTGCCTAGAGTTGAATAAATGAAGCATTGCTACATCATCATCCGGCCTATAAAAAATTTCCGACAAATATGGTGAGTGTAGAAGTGCTCATAAACCGTTGTGACGGGCACTTGAAAAATTCTTTAGAAGTGTTGTGTAATTGTAATTTTCCTTTGGGATTTGAATTGACTTAAAAAGAAGGCATTATACATAGAAAAGAAAATAATTATGGTTTGTACTTTGTAGAATGAATCTAAATGCAATTAACTAAAATCTGAAACGTTTTGAACAATTGCAAACAAGAAGAACCTTTCTTAATCCTTCCTATCCTATCCTATCCTAGACAAGGGCAACCCAGTTCTACTTCTTCTACCCAATCAAGTCAAATTGAAGCAGAAAAGAAAATTATTCAGAATGGAATATCAGAAAACAAACAACAATAATTCTCGGGGCAGTGGAGGGAGGGGAGCTGTAATAAAAAAGAAACAAAATATGCAGCCAAAGCTACTAGTCTGTCAACATGACACGTGTACACAGAGACTAGTTCACAACTCCAATCCAATCCCCCATTAATTACAAACTACAAGCAGGAAAGAAAACCAGGTCAAACAGAAGGACGAGGCACTCATAGTTTCAAATACACACAACAAAGCAATTTGCCAGAGATATGCAGCAGGTTAACAACTACAGTGAATGAAACCAGGTCTCAACTTGAGTACTGTACTGAGAACCAAAGCTTTGAGCCACCTATTGCTAAAAAACCTAAATCATATACATGTGGCGGCTATTTTCAGTCGAAAGACTACTAATTTGAAATGAAATGCGTCTTTACGCTTTCATTGCAAAGTTATTCCATCAACTGTGAATTCACATCTAGAGTTTTACAACTTCAAATTGAATAACCAACTATGAAATTTACAACAAAAATTATAATGGCAAAGCTCAAACAACAGCAGGACTAGATATACTAACTAATAGAGGAATTGAATACAACAACAAAACAGACAGAAGAAAAGAATTCAAATACAGCAAAGACAATATGATGGTCATTCCAGCAAAGCACAATCCTTCAAGGCTTCATCAAGCAAGTAGTGCCATCAGGAAGACATGTAAAGCAAGTGGCTTCCATTGGGTGCCTCCTTCAAGAATGACGCAGCTTCTCATACACTAAAGAACATGACTAAACACCAAATCTCCAATATACATTGTCGAGAAACAATACAATTTGACTCAAAATTAAATAAAAGAAGAAGAAATAGACAATTTGATATCCATGAAGAAATGTACAAGACTACATCCAAGTGAAAATTGTACATCAGCAGCACAGCATAGGCTTCCATGAAGAGAGAAACAAACCCTAAACAATCGTTTCAGTCCCAGCTAATTTACAGTGCAGCATTGATTTACAACTCACAACCCCTAAACCCAAGTACACCTTGCGGTTACATTATACCCCCAAAAAAAAAAAAAAAAAAGGTAAGATTCTTTACAGGAAGTTGCTTCAACAGAAACTGTGTTGTATAAATCTATGACTAATTACAATTTAGCACAGTGGCTTCCTGTTCCAATGTCTTAATGGATCAATCCCGACTCCCTAGTGCATAGAGCAGACAATGGAAGTTACAACACACTGAATATCTACAACTAAGCACATCCAATTCCGTACAAGACTATTACAACAAAAGAGGGCATTACATGTGGACCTAATACAAAAAGCCTACAATTACACAAGGACATTCAGTTCTTTACATGCACACTGACAAGTCTGCACTTAATATTTCACTAGTTGGAGAACACTTCAAGAAAATAAGGTGAAAGTCAAAATAGTCAAAAGCTTCTTTTGCACACTTGGAAACGCATCCATGTAACACATCTTCCATCATGTGACCAGCACAGGCTGATTCAATTATGAAAAGGAGTTGCCCACTCTACTCCCTGGATATGATGATTAAAAGAAAACCCGCATGTCAATAGACATCAAATAAAATAACTTTCCAAGACATCACCTCATAATCTATTGCTGCCACTTAAATAGAACAATAAGAAGCGCAAGAGAAAAAATGAAACATAGCAAACCAACGTTGACAGTCTCTAAGCCATAGTGTAACTAAGTTCCCTATAGGTATGAGACACATCACACAACAATGACATCAAGCCCCTCCCCAAATATTTTGCAGTTTTCAGTCAAAGCTATTCATGCCAACATAACAATCAAAACTTCCAAGAGACAGACAATCAAAGTCCAAAATATATAAACATTATCATTCATTCCAACATACGTATAAATACCAGCATCAGTTAAATGTCAAGGGAAAGGAACAGAAACAATCACTTCTCCTTTTTCTTTTTGGGTATTACCTCACATCTTTCTTAACCTTTCAGCCAAAATCAAGGATAGCCTCCACTCAAAGATAAAATAAATCAAGAAAAAGAACTTCCACAATCACATAGAACACAAGAAGTTTTCAAACTATAAGTAGCACAAACCCAAAAAAGCAATTGTCTTGAAGAAAGATTGGGTAGCATAGTTATTAAACCTGTAAGATAACAGCTGCAGGAAATGAGCAGCCGATTCCCCACAGCTATATCTTTGTTGGTATGCTACTAAAAGTTACTAATTGTTTTTAAGCACACAAATATTAATTATCACAGCTAAATGTTTTGTAGAAGCAGTATAAAAGCAAGGGGGAAATGATCGTTCCCTCCAATGCTCACTGGTAGAACTTACTTCTCCCTCAAGAAGCCACCTTTGCAGGAAGAATGCAGATTCACCATAGGTACCCATGGCTAGATATACTAACGGTCAGAACTTATATTCTGCAGTCTCGAAGACATGCTAGAGAAGGTCAGTAGTCTAATTGTGTCACTCAGATGGCAACCGTCTCCTCTTCCCGTAATCAACATCCCTTGATCGAGACCGATGATCATCTTCCGGCATTGCTTTGGACCGGCTCCGAGGTCTTGAAGAAGACTGACCTCTGTCCCAGTCATCCTCATAACCCACATCACGCTCTCTCTGTCGATGGTCTCGGTAACTATCTTTTTCTTCCTTGTACCTATGCTCCCTGTGCTCCCCTCTTTCAGACCTGTCCCAGTCTTGTTCCCTCTCATCACGATGCCTCCTCTCAGAGTTTCCTGACCAGTCACGCTCAGATCCTTTTTCATGATTTGCCTCTCCATACCCATACTCAGAAGCACCATCATCACCACCATAACTTGACTCCCTAGTTCTTCGACCATGTTCTTCTCCTGCCCACCCACCCATGCTTGGGTCATTCCACATCCCTGCATGATGCCCATCCATTCCAGAAGAACCCATCATTCCCATTCCATTAGTTGCCATTCCCCTGCCAAAGAACGCTGGGTTTACATGAGGAGCCACCCCAGCAAGTCCCATTGTATTAACAGCAGGAAATGAAGAAAGCATTCCAGGAAAAGCAGGACCTGGAAATCCTCCATAACCGCCTCCTCGGCCCATATATGTTGGATCAAATCCAGCACCCATCATACCCTGTGGATTCATCATACCTCCTACAGGACCTCCAAACCCAGGACCTGCAAGGCCCTGTCCATAGCCTCCATTAGCACCGGTTCCAACACCAGCAGGGTTCCCAGCCATGTTCTTTGCGCCCATGGCCCCTCCTCTTCCTCTCATTGGTCCTCCACCTCCAGGACCTCTGTTGGCTACTCCCTGTCCACCTCGTCCCCATCCACCCCTTCCAAAATTCCTCCCTCCGGTGTCTCCAGTTTGATAGTTCACACCTCCCCCCCTCCCAACACCATCATTCATGGGCCTTCTTCCTGGTTGCTGAGACTGAGTCTGGCCTTGGGATTTGCTTAAATAAGAAGCTCCCATCTGCTTCAAAGTCTGCGGAGAAGCAAAAGCCACAACACAAGCTCTCCCATTGAAAAGATAACCATCCATTCCCTCTTTGCATGCAGTGGCAGCAGCTGGATCATGAAACTCAACCTGACAATATCCTTTGGATTTACCACTGGCTCTCTCATCAAAAAACTTAATTTCCTTGACCCTCCCATACTGAGATAAAACACTTTCAAGCTCAGAATCAGTTGTCCACCAATGTAGTTCTCCCACAAACAGCATGGTTGAACCATTTTCAACTGTTGGCCGGACTTGGTTTTCATTAAACATTGGACGATTAGCATTTACCTTGATACTGATTTGATTAGTCGGCATCTGTGTAACTCCTGTAGGACCAGCAGTGCCAGAATTCATAGACGGAACAGACTCTAGAGCAGTTTTCCCAGTAATGTCAGAAGAATCACCACCGATATTTGGGGGCATAGTTGTCGACCCCTGAAACCCCATATGTCTGACTTGAGTATCATGACTCATCTCCATAGCCCTCCCCTTTTGAGATCCAGAAGCTCCACCCACATAACCTGTGGATCCCAGTTCTGGCTCCTTAGCCACTGGTGGCTGATCCTGTTGTTCTGGAAACTGGGCCACAGCACTAGAATACTTCCCTTGAACTGAAACCCCAGGAATTTTTGATTCCTGAGAGACACCAGCTTGAACTCTTGTTTCAGTAACATCAGTTTTCTGTGCTTGGAGACCTCCATTGCCAACACCACCAGGTGGGAGTGGTGCCTCAGACCGGTGCATCTGCAAGAAACCCTCTCCAACATTAACATCATTATAGAGATCATCATACTCATCATCTTCTACCATGGGTTCTTCATCTGCAAGCGCAGAGATGGCTCCACTTCCCTGATACTGAAGCTTCTGAGCCCCTCCATATTCCTCATCTTCATAATCTATTTGCTCTTCAGCCATTGGATCCATTTAGAACAACCAATCTATATCCGAATGAAGTTGAACAATCTCTATCTCTACCTACATGATTACAAAAGCAAGAAACAGAACCGTTCTTAGACCCAATACAGATTTGAATACATACATAACTTAAGCACAGAGAGTAAGAAACAGAACCGTTCTTAGACCCAATACAGATTTGAATACAATCATAACTTAAGCACAGAGAGTAAGAAAGAGGACCCCAAGATCCAAATAGTTGTATCACAGACATACAGCCTGAAAAGGAGGTATGAAGTATAAACTATGAGGATACTAGAAAGAGAAGTAGAAAGCTGTGATGCTTGCTGAAAAGGGAATTAAAAAGAGATGTTTTAGCAACGAATCAATCAAACACAAAACAGTATAATTTCTACCATCAACCATGAGAAATCAATAACATCATCAACAGAAAACAACAGCAGCAACAAAATGTCCACCATCCACCCAGCACAGTCGTAGAAATCATAACGAATAAATTACCCTTGTCATAAAATTGCTAAGAAAATATAAATCAAATTCAAAACCCACTTTGGAAATCATAGATTCCATAACCGAACTTGGTAAATTAGACATCCCAATCATAAATAACAATCAGAGAAAATAGAACCAAACCCCACTTGATAAAATCGCAGGAAGGAAAAGAAATTCCAGATAACCAAGCCCCACAATAAGGAAAAACAGGTAAGTAGACAACACCCACTTGGCAAAAATCACATAAAAAACAGAAAACTCAAACACCCACCCGAGATTTTAACCTCAAAGCAACACAGGAAAAAAGAAGTACCAAATCTGTAGCTTAAACGTTTAATAAAGTAATCGAGAGACAATGCACAAAAGAAAAAATATATGAAAAGAATCATGGGATGAGATTCGAACATAGATTGCAGAGGTTGTCTTACTATCGTGTGCTTTGTCTTGTGGTCTCTTTAGCTACCACAGCGTCCCCTTTCTCATCAAATATTAAGTATCAACTACGGCTATTCTTTTCCTTCTTCCTCCTCCTGTTTTTGGATTTTTCTTTTTCAATTATTTTCTACGCGATTTCTACAGTGAAAACAAAACACCCATTCGGATCAAGTCTAAGTTCTCTCTCTCTCTCTCTCTCTCTCTCTCTCTCTCCTCTTGGTGGTCTGTAAATTCTAAATTGCAAATTGTAAATACGCGATAATCTTGTTATTATTTCTTTATAACAGTAAAAGGGTAAGATTTGAGGCGCTCTAAAACAAAATTGATTGACCCTCTTCTTTTTTAATAGTCAAACTTCATTCTTTTTGAAATGATAAAACGATGTGCTCTGCTCTCCACCACACAAATTTTGTTATCAAAAACCGAGTGCTACTCTCATGACTGATGACTTAAAATATAACAAATAAATAAATAAGAGTGCTACTATTTCAATTCCTTCTATTTTTCAATCCACTTTATTTTCAAAATTTATATATATAAAGCAAAAGACAGAGAATGATAAAATATTCAAAATACCATAAAATGTCATTGGTTAATCCAAATTTAAGAATTAAAATTATTAATTAAATGATGATAATATGGTAAATTTACACTTTTCTTATTTAAAAAAATTAAAAGAAAAAGAAAAATCAGATAATGAATTCTATTTTTATAGAACACAACTATCCATTATCTTTTTTAATTCTAAAATAAATTTAAAGTTTTTTTAAAAAAAAAACCTTTCACAGCCACGGAAGCGCGTGCGGAGAGACTAGTTTTAAATTAAATTTATTAATCCGTTCTATTTTTCAATCCACTTTATTTTCAAAATTTTAGAATTAAATTTATCTTTTTGTAAAATGACTAAGGACTTTTAAAATTAAACATTAAACATTAAAACCAAATAAGAAAAAGATTAAAAACAACTAAAAGGATTATTAAAAAATATATCAAAACCCTTCCCTCACAACGCGCATACCCCACCCTCTCGCCTCCTCCCTTCTCTCTCCTCCTCCACCACACAGAAGCGATCTCCCCCGCTTCCCCAAGCACCCGCCTCTGTATTGTACCCCCCTCACCTCTCTTTGTGGGTTATTAAATAATAGCCTTAGCACTCTATTTAATTCAAATATTATCCATAAGGGATTTACACCACCACCAACCGAAGAAAACCCACAAATGATTCAAGAATCAAACATGTTTTTGGGATCGCAAAGTTAATCCAGCGCTCGAGCGAGATGAGCCTTTGCCTCCTATTGTTATCATTCAAAGCTCCTTTGTTGCTAACTTGCTACAATACCCCATTAATTTCACCAGATGCATGTGCAGCGGCGGATTCAGGAATTTTGCAGGGGAGGTACAATATTTAAAAGGCTAAAAATTTACAAAGGACTCAAGCAAAGTCATGTGTTCAAGTCCTAACATCCGTGTAGTGTGTTAAAAAAATAAGGCTAAAAATCCAAAAAAAAAATTATACAACCAAATGCCCTTAGAATTTAACCAATACTAATGTCATTCATAATTAAAACAAAATAAGAGTTTTACGTCTACAACTAATTGATTATAGTCTATATGGATATCAATTAATATGAACAAAATCTTTGTCATTGACACAATTAGTTTACCAAAATTCATATCAAATATGAACAAAATCCATGTCAATTACATATTTAATCTAACAAAAGTCAATTCCAATTAATCTAACCAAAAGCACATGTAAATTGGAGGTCATGAAACAAAAGTACACATGATTAAAAGTTGGTTGTAAATTTTGGTGAATTTTTTGGCACACATATGAGTTTTTAATGAATTTTTTAATTTAGACCAATTAGAAATAGACATGTGTTGGCTTGCTATTGGACAATTTAAGAAAGAATCAAAATCAGAAGCGCTGACGTCTGACGCGGAGTCTTCTTCTTCCTTGAACTGTGCCTCTGCACCTTAACTTCAAATATTGTAGAAAAACTTCGAAAATTCATAACTTTGGTTGTGGAGCTCTGATTGATGAGCCGTTTTCTCCTACATGCTCGTGAGATCGAGCCCAACAATATAAGGTAAATATTCAGGGTCTCACAATGCAGCAAACAATACAACGTCTTTGAGGCATTTAGTCGAACAATTGGTGGGCACTAGCAAATGGGAAAATTTTGGCATCCCCAAGGAAGTTTCCGGTGAGAGGAGGTGCAGTGCACCTCCTTGCGCCTCCGTGGATCCGCCAGTGTGCATGTGTCTTGTCCTCCCAAGTGGCTCCTTGGGGTTTTTCATTTTTATTATAAATCTTTTTATTATTTTTAATTAGTTTAATCAATTTAAGTTTGAGAAGGTGGGTATCAAGTATGCCATGTCATTATTTACTACTAAATTATAATTAAAGGGTATTTTAGGAATAATGGTGAGTGGAAAGATAGAATTGTATTTTTTTCAATTTTAATGATGAGTGGAAAAATAAATCAGTAAGTGAAAATAACAGTACTCATAAATAATTTATATCTTTTTTGCTCGGCTGTAAATGTCAGTTGTCAATTTGACTAAAGTAGTGTGCGACTCCTTGCATCCAAATTCGATTTCCCTTTGTATACATTAGGCAAAGTGTAATTAGGCCTAGTAAAAGAAAATGTCTTTTGCTGGGCTGAGCCAGTTTTAAGGCCCCAATAACGGCCTGATGACAAATTCATGGGAACAGTCCAATACAAACAAAAGGTACAAATGTGTTATTTTTGCTTGCTTAAATTCAACCAATGTCCACTTGTATGAATACAAAATTGATGGGACGTAATTATAGGTTTGCGGTATAAGGATTTTGACGTACCCTATTCTTTTATTTTTTCTTGTCGGATTGTGGACAAAGATGTTCAGATAATTTCAAGACAATGTAATTGACATTTTATTTGAAATAGCAGATTAGCGATTTAAACTAATAATTGTATTAAACAAAATGAATTTATAAACACAATTTGTGACAAATTTCTTGAAATTTAAAAAAGTCAAATTAGAAATTATTGTACTACAACAATCCAATTCAAAAGAATAGGCCTACCTGAAGTGTACTACGGTGTAATTATCAGTCGAGGGAAAAAAAATGAAAGGCTAATAATAATCTTGAGCAAACTCTATTCTAAGCTGAACACCAAAACTGCAATTCAGCCAGGTTCATGTCTTCTTGCCCAAATCACGATTCTCATCTCATCTCATCTGATCCTTCAGGGCCACTTTCCACTTGCCACTTGGACATGCAACACCGCAGAGACTATTTCCTATTGGTTTCTAAGAGACCTATTGCCCCCCTAAATGAAATTATCATTACAAAAAAACCCCACATCCCTTACAAAATTAAGATTAACTGAGTAATTATATTACAAACCGCCTCTAGACACCAGGAAAATATCAGGAAATGCATTACTGAGCATGTAAGAGACATTTTTTTTTATCAGGAATTGCCGGCAAGTGATCCGGCCAAAATTGATGTTTTCATCAATACATACCCTTGAAAACAGGATTTGTTCTGCATATGCTCGCACCATATTCCTCATACTCTTCTTTTGTATGGCAAGCCTGTACAGAAAGAAACTCCTCAATCAACAGTCAAAATTTGGAAAGAGAACAATGATAAAAACTTGGGGCAGTTTTATATTAGCAAAAAACAAGGTGAAAGCTCAGCATCAAATGCTGTGCCTGCAGAAATATCAAACACTCGCATATGCATGGTTTCAGAGAGGAGATGGTCTCCTCAACCATGATCAATTAAGTTCCCCTTGATGCCATTCAATTGCTGAATAAAATGGCTCAAGTTATCATAACAAAAGGCACTAGAGCCCCTAGTTCTGAAATTAGTGTGGCTTTTTGGAACTCCTCCTGAAGCAACCACCAAATATAGCATACCATTTCCACACAAAAACTAGACCAATCTCTTTTCTGATCCCAAGTGTCAAATTATATGGACTTCCGCATCGTGCAAATATAATAAGATAATAATTGTTTTTATCTCCGTTTTAACTGGCAGAACTCATTATCAGTAGTGAGTGAACCAATAAAATTATATATTGAATTAGCAAGATATTGTCAAAAACCCAATCTGTAAAACACTGATCTAAGGGTTTCAAGCCCCACAGCAACATGAAGATTATTTGAGGGTTTCAGGATGTAGGGAGAAAGTTATAGACGAATAATGAGATTGTCTGCCTACGTTAACAGAAATTCTTTATTTTTCTTTTTCATACCGCATAGAATTCAGGTGTGGATGCAAGTACAGAGCCTCCAAACCAAACTGCAAATCTCTGGATGGGATGACTAACGACATTTACTTCCACTGGCTGTGACTGCATGCCCAAACAAAAATAAAAATCAAACATATTTATTGTAAAAAAAAAAAGCACATGCTGACAAGTTTATTGATAAATTATACATTGCACAACATCTGAAATAAAATTGCTTACTTTTAATTCCCCACCAACTCGAGCTTCAGATGCAAGAAGCCGGGCATCGACAATCTTCTTTATATCCCGTTGCAACCTCCTGTGGAAGTCCTTGAACATGGTTGAACCTCCAGACAACACTATATTCTGAGAATTACAGTAACAGTAACAATAACAAGACTAATCAATAAGTTGTATAAAGAAATCTTAAATGTAAGAACGAAGATCACTAAATGCATCAGGTCATAATACCATAATCTTTGGCGAAATTCACACAAGATAAAAATAAAATAAAAAACTTGCAAGTGATTCTCTGGACCTTAGAACTAAAAACATTTCAAACATCAGATTATGAACATAGGAAGAAATAAATGCTAAAGTTTAAATAAGAAAACAAATCAGAATCAAATGATTATGCAGTCAAATGAAGTTGCAAAAAACAATATTTAGATAGAAGGGCATAACTGAAGTTAACAAAATTCAACCTATGTCCAAAGACCATTCACTTCAGTAATGGTTCCTGAACCCATTACAAGGCTAAGTCACCACATTTGAGACACACACAATATTACTTCTTAGGGAGTTTCACTAAAACACCCAAAATAGGAGCTGAAATTATAAAAAAACCCAACACCCAAAACACTTTATAAATACACCCAAAACCCATCATTACACACACTCAAAACCCATTTATAAACACACCCAAAAAATATACAATTGTTGACTTTGGGGTTGATTTTGGGTGTGCTTCTATGTTTAAATAGTGTTTGGGTTTTTTTATAAATACATGTCTAGGTTTATTTATAAATTTGTATACTTCTTATTGCTTCAATTAAATTATCTCATCTATGAACAATTTCCA